TTTCCGATCTAGCGATGAAGCTTCCGTCGACATAGACGCTGGCTTTCCCTTGAAGCAGCGTGTACTCCGAGGCATTAGTGATCTTAGCCTACCACAACCACAATCAGGAGAGCACACTGAACAGAACGATGATGCGCACGTTTAAATGGGCCCTTGTGTCCAGTTTTGGCACGCAGACCCAGGACATCGCGGCCCCGAGGGTGAGTTGCACGATCGTGAAGTTGTGCGTCTCGCTATCGCTGGGGATTGATACCAGGCCAGGCACCCGGAACGACGTGCTTATATTGTTGTTCGAGGCAACATACGTGCCCCTAAATTCCATGGGGGGAGGGGGTGCTGCGGTCATCGTAGGAACCACATGATATTGAGGGGAATGCGACCGGGAACGGGAACGAGAACGGAAAGGGCGAGAGGTACGGTGATAGTCTTGCCTGATAACGGGGACCGAAGGTTGAGGCATAAACATCTGAACGGGCGGATGATGCTCAATTTCCAGATTCCATGGCGATAACCGTGGAACATTGGTTCCAAATGTAGGAGTTGAGGTTTCGAGCGTTAGTGGCACTTCGTCCCAGGGCTTGAATTTATCGTCAGATACAAGGGAACCATCACTGGACTGTCACCCACCTCTCCAGTATTCTGTATCACCGCCGCCCTATAATGGAGTGCGATAGGGTCATCCTTGGTGCTCATATCAACGCGAATGTCGTAGAACGCCGACCACGTGGCCCAGGGCACCGCTGTCGTATATTCAGCACGATGGCAACGCAGGGCAAGGAACACAGGCGCACCATAAATCAAAGCAATCTCGACATCTCCCGCCGTTTCAGCAAACACACCGATCACAGCCTTCATGCGCAGCCTCTCATTCTCGTGCGGAGCCTGGATCCGGGCCCTTTCGAGCGCTATGTTGGCGTCAATCAAGCGCAGCTGCTCCTTGAGGTCAGATTTCTTGGCGTCCAGTTTTCCCCCGGTCGAATCGTAGGTCTCCATGACGTTATCGAGTTTCGAGACCTCGAGATGCTCGACGGTCAAGGACTTCAGATACCCCTCGAGCGATGCTATCGACTTGTCGCACCGCGCAAGAGCGTTCGCTATCTTTTCTCTCTTGCTGAACAGCGCAGCGAGCTCGGACGAAGATGTCGGGGCATGCTCTTCGGGCGCTTTCGATACGGTGACATCGTGGATCGTCGCTGCCCCGCGCCCTTCCACCCTGAAGGACTATCAGTGTCATGGACCAGCGACAAAGCAAAGAGGATAGACATACCGAAGCGATTCCGCCTCCAATAGGTTCGGCAACCCCGAAATATTGACTTGATTCTGGCCAGTCTTCACGGCGAACTTGTACAGGCGAGTAACTTCTGCGCGTGTGGGGTACAAGCTGACCCCGGTGATCTTACTGTCTGCGGTAGACTGTAGGTCGATGGAGCTTGTGGGCTCGAAAGCAGGTGGGTGGTCGTCTGTCATTGTGAGGGGTAAGTAAGAGAGGCACGTTGCGCAGCCGCGATCAAGTCCCGCCTTACGGCACGTATAATGAGTCACCACTAGGCGCGCGCTGTCAGCGCGTTCGGTCCGTGTGCTCAGATGCCCTCGACGCGTCGGGCATGTCAGCTTCCTTCAATGGAATCACCCATTTGTTGTCCGGTTGAACATCGCAAAAATAGATGGACCGTGTCATGATTGCTGGATATGACGACGTGATCTAGTGCACTCGTCAACCAGAAGTCAGCGACTTCCCGATGGTTATTAAAGGAGTCAATAAATACATCCGCGTGTGGTATCGCTGGGGCGAACACAGCACAACAGGAGCAACGGAAAGAATTCGTCTCCCATTAATATTATCCGTACGCGCCTAAACGAGACTAGCATCACGAGTCAACATTGACGCCGGAATGTACGCGCGCCACGCTGCCGGCGCATAAATCCGGAAGGATTTGAGGGCGGGGAGCTTCTCCAGCACAATCTCGAGTGTTGTGGTGAACACCTCTTCCTGCGGTTCATGACCCGGCTCAATATCAATCACGAGCGACTCGAGATACGGGGTCCGGAGGACGAGGGACAGGAGATGCGCGGCAATGGAGAGGATGTCGCGGTGCGGCGATCGGAGGCGTAGACTACGCAGAGTGCTCTCGAACGGGGGTGTCATGAGCCGGCCGATGCCTGGCAAGGATAGCAGGGGGGTTATTGATACGTGCATCGAATACTGCCAGTGCAAGAGACATACGTAGATCGCGGGGCGCCTCCACAGGGAACGCGAGCTCGAGTGTGCGAAGCGCAGGGCCAGAGGCGCGCAGACACTCGTGCAGGCGATCCCAGTCCGAGCGCAGAACAAGTGCGAGCGTTGTCACTGGCGGCGGCGGGTTTGCACTGAGGATGTACTCGATGACGCACATGTTCAGCATCGGGTAGTCGATGTCCAGGGTGTGCAGGTGCACGAGTGGTCCGAGTGCTCCACGGGCTGGAAGAGCACCGGGGCTTATGGAAGTGTAATCCTCTTGGATGGCGATTTTGAGGCGCACCAGAAGCGGAAACGCACAAACTAGCTCCATGACTGTGGGCAGCGAGTGTGCGAGCATGAGCTCGAGTTCGAGCTGTTTGAGCGCGCCGAACGCAGGAAGTAAACGACCTGCGTACCCAATCCTGAGCTGGGTGAGCCGCAGCGTCGTAAGCGCCGTGAAGTGGGAGAGCATGCGGGGGAGGCGTGTCTCGACCCATGGCTCTGTGATCACCTTGAGTCCAGTATCACAGTGCGCACGAAGGATTTGAAGGTCGTGTGCTCGAGTTTGCCGAGCGCCTTCTCGCGTTTCTTCCCGGGGCCGATGGCCATGCACGAGAAGACGATGGGGCGACTGAACTCTAACCATGCATGTGATACGAGCCCGCAGATTCGAAGGGTGAGTTCATCTGCTGGGTCGATGTTCTGTATTACTAGATCGACCAGCTCGGGAGGCAGGCGAGGGTCCCCCACTTGAGTCTGAGACTCCGGCATTGCTGGGAGTCGCCTACGAGGCTTTGGATGAGATTTGGAGTGCCCGCGTTTCATGGCAGTAGATTGTCAGCGGATGAGTGGAGGAGGAGAGTTTGGTGACTGAGTGTGAGAGTGGCCAGGACTGACCGGCACCGAAGCCGAGATCACGACGTTGACGCGTCGGCAGGAACTGGCCAAGCACTTCCAAACTTCGCGCGGAAAATTGATGCCTTTGCTCAACCTTTGTGAAGAATATGTCTATGTAAACGATTTAATTTCACGGCATTCCTCGAGCTTCTTCCTAGCGACATGACTAGCTATCCAGTCAATATTCCGAGTCGCCACAAGACATACATTAGGGAATGACTTAAGCCTCGGATTCATCAGCCACGGTCTGTCCCCCGAAAATTACCCCGAGAATACGGAGGGAATGACATATCCCTTTATTCCTTTTCTCACGAGTTGCGCAATGCGAGCGAGGCTACAAGGCTTCAGCGCTTATATGAAACGATAAGATAAGATAGCATAAGATAAGAAGATTCCAACATCACTTTTCATTTTCATCTTTAAAAGACTGAGGGCGTTTGGAAGATCCATGTGCCGGTATTGTTCTTTTGCCCTACGAAGCGAGGAGGCTGGTGCTTGGGCGCGCATCACGATGAGTTACAAATTCAGTTAGTGTCGCTCAATGAGTCGAGCTGACTCTGGTCACTCGCATCGCTGGGGCTTGCTGTTCGCCAGAGGGGGTCGAACTGCTTGAGCTGTTCACGCGGCATGAGGCTCCCTGGGATTGACGTTGCTGCTCCTTTCACATGACAACCGGAGATGAACATTGCCTCCTTGGTCTCTCGTGCAATTCAAATGTAAGGTTATTCCAGCATGCCTCCTCCGGGTGGAGCTGCAGCCACGGACAGAACTGCCCTTCCGTTACCGACAGGCATACAGTATAAGCGCGCCGCATCTCGAAAGTGATCTCTTCCGAATCTAGTTCATGTGCATACGCCAACGCAAGCGCCATTGCGAATGGCGCCTCATTCCTTCTCCCGCGGGGGATAGCACATGGAGTTCTGCTCTGAGCCAACGGCGTCGCTCAGGCAGCAGCGGAGGATGCTGTACATACATAAATTATCGGGTATTGCAGATGAGCGCAAGAGGGAGATGTATTAGCTACAGTATGTGCTGTGCTCGATGTCCCGCGCCACGGAAAGAGGCTCACAGAACCGGCTGGCGCGTTGGCGTGCTGTGCACACGCGGGCCCGGTGCCGGGGCGTACCGCCCAGGTAGTTGTGTTGAGAAGGAAGTGATGCAAGAATCAATGGGTCCAAGCCGCAAATTAGTCCCCACAGCCGGTATTCCTTCTGCGGAGCACATGCCTTCCAACGGCTTATATTTATCGCTGCCATCTGTCCCTCCGACCTCAATGCCGATTCCCTACCAAGGTCCAGGCTCGAATCGAACGAGCGATTCCTGAGTTTAGAAAGTTGCTGCGCAAGGATAATTAGAAGCAGGCGCAGACCATCTGCTACTGGGCCTTCATCCATCGCTTGCGAGCCTAGGGTTTGGTTGAGCACCCAAGAAAAATCTCCGAGTCCTGTGGAGAGCATATTTTGAGCCTGAGACGGGCTCGCATGGGATATGCTGAGGTTGTAGGAACGAAGGGAAATGTTCTAGTATCGTGAACCCCACAGACGGAATCCGTGCAACTTCGTATGAAGACTTGCGGACATGCATACAAAACCAAGATGACCACGGAAGAAGGCCCAGGCTCGATTCGAACCAGCGATTCCTGCGGTCGGAACTTTTTTGGGACCCCCGAGGGAAGCAGGCGCGGACCTGGGCCTTTATTCAAAGCCCGCGCACCTGGTGAAACTTGAACCCTAATTTCAACCCCTGCTAGGGGCCAATGGATGGGTACCGCACCCCCGACGGTGTGCTCGCAAAATATGAGGCGGGACTCTCACCTTCTGGATTATGCCGCCCACCAAAACTACCGGCTGTCCACAAAAAAAAGAAAGAAGCTGCGTGGGAGCCAAGGTCCAGGCCCGATTCGAACGAGCAACTCCTGCGGGTAGATGTCATACTGCCCTTCAAGACTGGAAGCAGGCGCGGACCATCCGCTACTGGACCTGATACATAGTCCGCGACCCTAGTCAAACTGAGCATTCTAATGTGGACGCCGAGGTCTGAGCACCGCGAGTGTCGGTCCAGACTAGTGTGACCTCCGCATTCCTCACGATTCAGCCCGGCAGAGAAATAGCGATCATAACTGTGCCCAAATCTGCAACGTCCGCACATAGTCAAGGGAAAAAGGACATCCGAGTCCACTTAAGGCCCAGGCTCGATTCGAAACGAGCGATTCCTGCGTTTGGAGACTTATTTGAGCAATACCCATTCAAAGCAGGCGCGGACCATCCGCTACTAGGCCTTGGTCCATATTTCATGAACCTAGATACGTAGCGTTCAGTTGAGCTCACATGGCGAAAAGAACAAGAAAAATCTCAGACGCGCGTCTGAAGGATATTTTGCAGCACAAGACACATGCGCTTGAGATATGCTGAAGCTTCAGTAGCCAAGTGCCAGGTTCTGGTCTCATTAACCCCACGGGAGAAATCCGTGCAGCTTGGTAGGACGACTGCGGGAAAAAGAAGTGGCGGAAGTCGTGATCAAGGCCCAGGCTCGAGTCGAACGTGCAACTCCTGCGTTTAGCGATTTCCCGAAGTTATTAGAAGCAGGCGCGGACCATCTGCCACTGGGCTTTCTTTCGTGACTTACGAACCGAGTGACGCGAGCAGGTGATGGAGCAACGCCCACCGAGGTGCCCGCCCCCCTTCTCCCAGTCGGGCGACTCCCGAACCATTTCCCGATCGGTCTATGTAGCTCTTACGTCCGCCCGATCACACTCGCGCCATGACCTCATCCCGCTGCCACCTGCGTGAATTAAACGACGACCCAGGAATCGTAAGTATAAAGGGCGGGCCACTTCTGCTCGTCCCCCATCGCACCTTTCTCCCCAACCACCACCATCTCACCCGCTTTTACCTTTACCTCTACCTTCACCTTTGCCAACCCACGCACGCACGCACCCATCCATATAATGTCGCCCGACGGTCCAAGGTATGCTTGCGCCCTCCGCTTCGGTGTTCTGCGCATCGTGTTGATTGTGCGTAGCCAGGCGAGCGGCAAGAAGCACCGCGTCAAGGGCTCGCTCCTCCATGGGCCGCTCCCCTTCGTCTCGCTCAGGACGCCCCTCCCCTTCATCCCGCTCACGACGCCCCTCCCCTTCGTCTCGCTCAAGACGCCGCTCCCCTTCCTCACATTCACTCCCCTCCCCTTCCTCGCGCTTACTCTTCCCTTTCCTCGAGTCCCCGCCGACTATAATGGGCCCGCGCAGGTCGGCAATCTCACCGGCTCGACGAGGCGCACGCGCAGGTCAGCCCGCGCCTTTCTCCTTGAGTCTCCTTTCTTCCGTGAAGTGCCGACGTCGTGTACAGGGCGAGTTTGACGCGGTCGCCGGTGCGGTCGACGAAGCAGGGGGCGGGTACGTACTTGTCTGCTTCCCGCGCTCCACACATCCTCTTCTTCGCTTCTTCCCCCGCCGACTTCCCTCTTCTTCGCTTCGCTGATTCCCTGTCGCCGCGCATCTTCTCTCCCCGTGGCTGACACGCCCGCTGTTTCTAGGCAACATGCAGCAGGAGGCCGGCAAAGCCAAGACCGAGGCGAACCAGCCCTGATTTGACTTCGACTTCAGCCCGCGCTTCGTTTTCCTTTTTCCTCATGACGGTGTATCGTGTATCTGAACAGCGAATTGAATTTGTGAAATTTTGGAACGTTTTTGCGTCTGAGCAACTTTCGATGTGTCCTTCGCGCATCTGGTTCCACATTCGACTCCTTCCAACTTCGCGATCAGTTGGTGCTGCGAGTTCCGCGCATCCTCGGACCCGGGGCGAGTGGATCGGACGACGGCACAGACCGAATCAATTGATGCTCAACTTGGGTTCAACGGCGCTTTGAAGTTTGGGCCAACTTGAACGGAGGCGAGGCGTGGGCCGTGTTACGTCGCTCCAGGGGTCTTCACCGCGGCTGCGGATATACAAGTTGCAGGCAAGCGCAGGAGACGTGGTCCGAGGCCTTGACAATCTAAACTTTGCTCCTAGCGCGTGCGGATCTGCTTCGGCTGATCGCGGCGCCGCGAAATCAACGGCGAGCGAGGACCGGCAGATGGCGGCAGGCCTCAGCATATCCCGGCGCGCGGCATATCCCCGACGGGAGTTGAACGACAGTGCAATCCTATACGTGTTCATCTCCTCTGCGTCATGGTCCAGGCGCAAGAGCAGCGGGAAATTAATATTGGCGTGGCTCTCTCAGAGCCTGTGGTGCAGTTTATCTTTTTGAAAGAATGTAAAATTGAATATAATGTCCGGCTTCGCACTGCTCTTGTGCGGAATTCGATGTGCATGTACCGGCAGTGTAATTCTCGAATGTATACTTCTCGAAGGTATCTGTCCTACGGCGATTTAAGTGCGTGGTTGAACGGGGAGCTTGGACGACGGACTGCGGAATAGAGTGGGAATGGATGAAGGTGCAATTAGAATGGTCGAGGATTTATTGTAGGGCCGGCAATGTTGCAGCAACATCGACCTCTCTTTTTCCCGAGGGAAGAGCCAGCTGGTCCACGTGTATGACCTGTTCAAACAAATACGGCCGCGGACATATCATACTCCCAACCCCTGTCTACACACCCCGCATCCGGCAGCCTCAAAGGCAGCCCGTGCGGCGGAGGCGATCACGGCGAAGCGCTGGGCGTGCGACCAGTGGATCTGAATGCCGGTGCGGGGTGGGAACGGTGCGGGGTAATGTAGAGTGGGAGTACTACTGCATGGATGTTGGGGGGTGGCCGACGGTTAAAACGTAAAACGTACGGGGATGTATATACGCGGGTGGGAGTGACAAGAGGGAGAAGGCCCCTCGGTGCGGATATACGGTCCAGGGCGCGTGCCAGGCGTGCGCAATGGAAGCCAAGTTGAAGGGGCGGCTCCGCACTGAAGCGCGTTATTAGGGCCGCGCGTGGGAGGATCCGCCCCGACGCGCACACGGGGCTCCGTGCGCGGCGAAGCAGGGGACAATCGGGACATGACGGGATTCTTGTAGGATGTACTGCGTAGGACCCACATGGACAGACAAGGACTTCGGGCCGGCCATGTGGGGGACACGCGTTCGAGGGGTGGGAGGCAGACTCGGGTGTGGGAACGCAGGCGTGGGCTTGGTGTGATGGTGATGCCGAGTCGAATTGAAGCGTGAGAGGCAGTGGGTTGAGCGGAGGGTATACATTTTGAAGGCGTGACGAAGAGGGTTCACTTTTTGACTTGCCAAATTGACTTGCGCCCGCGCGGATTGACTTGTGTTGACTTGTGCGGGGATTTGGGTGCGCAAGTCAATTTGTCGCCCGCACAAGTCAGCATGCTTACGTGCAAGTCAATTTGTTGCCTTGCCCCGCACGTTTGGTCGCCATTGACTTGGGCACATTCTTCTCCTCCTGTGCAAATTCTTTGGATGTCAGGACCATATAAATAACCCCCTTGTTGCCTGCCCAAAGTTGTCGGGGCAGTTTCTAAGTTCTCGTCCTCATTATCACCGTCACTCGGACTTTTGTGATGCCCACCGTGGTACTACTGGCCCGATCATTGACTTGTGGCATCAAATGAGGTCCTATGGTGTTATTGTGTGATCGGGAACCGATTCCCAACCCAGGCATACGTACGTTCATTCAAATTCTGGCAATCGACGGACGATAAAAAAAGGCTCTATAATATCTGTGCACAAAGACAGCCTATATCATCCCCCTCCCAGCATTGGTGGGTATCAGACAAAAAAATCTGCCTGCAACACCCATTCAAGCACGGGTGTTTGGCGGCACAAGTCAATTTGTCGTGTGCACGTGACCCCCGCACGTTTGGTCAGTGGTTGACTTGGGTACATTCCCGGTGTTGTGAGTAGAAGTAGTATCGGATTAGGAAGGAAATATACGCACTAGTCGCGGATTGTCAAGTTACACTAATATTCTACCTCATCTATTCATCCCATTCTGACACATATCTCATCTAGGAGTGGACCACTGGACATTCTCTCTCTCGACGGGCTACCTCCTCCCTTGCATGACCCCCCTGGGCACCAATGCGAGCTGGAAAAAGTCCTACCACATGTACTTGCCAGCTAAACACTCATTGCACTTTACATAAAGCCCCCAGGGAGGTTAATTCCCTTGTGAACAACGCTCAAGTTATTTAATGATTTAGGAAAATTAAATCCAGTATTTGAATTTCTTGCCTGCATTGACCATAGTGCTGGAGTGGCGGCCGTGGACGAGGGGATTGGACACCGGCTTGCCATCACTTTCACCGATAGTCATGTCGTGCGTGAGCAAATTGACTTGTGCGGGGATTCTGAGTGCACAAGTCAATTTGTCACCTGCACAAGTCAATATGTGCACCCACAAGTAAGATCGGTGGCTTTCCCCACCCGGATGCCTAGTTAGCATGGACTTATTCGAATGAACTGCGTCAGAGTCCAGACTCGTGAGTTGATAAGTTACAAATGCCCGACACTGCTGTGCTCTTCGGTCCGGGACAATCTCAATTGATTGGACTACATATAAGTGAATGCCTCAAGAGAGGTATATACACTTTCAAGTCATCCGCCAAAAACATATATTACTTTGTCACTGACAACAACAGCGACGACGACGACATCAGTGTTGGGGATGATGCCATCAAACTTGCCGATCGCCGCCAAGGATAGTCCCGAGAACGTCTAAGTAGGTTGGGGTAGTCTCGTTCCCGACGTTATAGGGCAGTACCGCTCGCTGCGCTTGCGGGCAGTGGGCGGTATTTCTAACTGGAGCAATCGGACCACCGGAAAATGTTCCGAGGCAGTTTTTGATGAAGATTTGATCGCGCGACACTGCCCTATAACGTCTGGTGCAAATCGATCAGTAAACTTGTGCTTGCGTCACACGGTGAGTCCTTCAACACAGAATAATGAATTCCTCTTCCAACATACCTCATATTGCCACAATACTTCGTACAAGCATTCATATGTGGTATACAAGCCGTATCTAATTTTCCCCGCAA